AGGTGCCTACACCTCCTGAAACCCGTTCAGGCAATCTAGATAGACATTTAAAACAAAAACGCCACCGACATCGGTCGATAGCCGTGCCTCCCAGTGTCTCCAACCAGGCGCAGTGGGGATCACGCAATCCCTAACCTGGAAGACGAGTAGCACCGTTGACACCCAAAAGTTTCGTAGTCGCTTGCACAGCTCTCTCCAAGCTCAATGTCTGGCTACCTCTCTGCTTTCGCCGCTCTGAGTTGGGCTAGGGAAACAGCACTTTTCAGCAACCGATGGTTATGCATAAGCAACACATGTCCCAAAGAAGACAGCTTCTGGCGCCGGACACATTCCTTAATGGAAGGCTTCACTGCACAAACTCGCTTTCTGATTGCCTCGTTACGGACTCGCAGACTACAACCCACACGAGCTATGGTTTTGAGACCACGCCTCAGACCCGCTGCTCGAGCAGGCCAAGTCTCAGCCACACGACAAAACAACACGCACTGTAGCTTAATACACAGGTCCCTTCGAGATTCAGAGATGAACCNAATAGAACTGCAAACTACCAAAAATAAAAGGTACATCACAAACCACTCAAACACCAGAGAAGCCGACCACGACGCAATACAGAGCACGAACGGGCAACCTGAAGAGACAACAAACAAACGGCAATTTGAACAGTGGTTTACCTTAGGAAGCAAGAAATACAAACCATGATGCAAAGATGGGACAAACCAGAATCTTAGTAGGATGGCTGTCAACGACAGCGCAAAGGCTGTCTTATGTAAACTAAATAAGCGCATGCACTAAAAAAGGGACTATCTAACCAGCAGCGCACTGAAGATGACTCCTTGAATTGTTAAGAAACGCCTGGGAATCGATTGCCAAACTTGGCGAACAGATCAACAGCCACCTGATCAGTCATCAACCAATTTAGTTGAATGCCTTACTGTGAAGAAAAAATAAAGGCGGACGTGGAAGGGATTTGTGCTAGCTTAAAAGAATCAGTTCGAGGTGCCTACACCTCCTGAAACCCGTTCAGGCAATCTAGATAGACATTTAAAACAAAAACGCCACCGACATCGGTCGATAGCCGTGCCTCCCAGTGTCTCCAACCAGGCGCAGTGGGGATCACGCGGTCCCTAACCTGGAAGACGAGTAGCACCGTTGACACCCAAAAGTTTCGTAGTCGCTTGCACAGCTCTCTCCAAGCTCAATGTCTGGCTACCTCTCTGCTTTCGCCGCTCTGAGTTGGGCTAGGGAAACAGCACTTTTCAGCAACCGATGGTTATGCATAAGCAACACATGTCCCAAAGAAGACAGCTTCTGGCGCCGGACACAGTCCTTAATGGAAGGCTTCACTGCACAACCAAAAACTCGCTTTCTGATTGCCTCGTTACGGACTCGCAGCCTACAACCCACACGAGCTATGGTTTTGAGACCACGCCTCAGACCCGCTGCTCGAGCAGGCCAAGTGTCAGCCACACGACAAAACAACAAGCACTGTAGCCTTATACACAGGTCCCTTCGAGATTCAGAGATAAACCGCTCTGACGCTATAGATGTCTCAAATTAGCAAACGCGACACAAGCCTTGAAGATTCGTGCACTGACCCCATCTGTCACACTACAGTCAGGTCTGATGCAAATTTTCAAGATACGTAAAACGGCCCGCGACTTCCAGTTCCCCTTCACGGATTGTAAGTGGCATGTTCAGTGTCTGCATGTCCACAAGCATGACCTTATACTTTGTGGGTGCAAAGCGCATATCAAAGGACGGGATGACTTTGGTCAGTTCATTCAAGAAACCCGAAATTTCTTCCCTTCGAAAATAAGGACGATGCGTCTCGTATACTCCAGATCAAGAAGCTTTTTGCTACAAATTACTTGAACATCAGGATTTTAGAGAAGTTCCAGCTTCGTCTGATTATCTCGTTCCTCGCGAAGTTAAACCAGAACGGGGAGACTGAGTGCCAATGGCACCACTTGGTGTAGGGGAGCTTCTGGGGAGCTCATCGTACACTCCCATACGTCAGGAAGTCTGATAATACAACACGAGGGAGAATACTCAAGATAATCGCAATTGATGCAACGCAGCCGTGGACACAGAAGGCATCAGCTGGAGAACCCAATCATCTCCAAAGTGTGTATCAATCCGTGAATCCGTGAAAGCTGAACAGACCGCCGTCGACGTCAAATGACCCCTTTGAAATTGATCTCCAGAAAGACTCGTCACTGATTTTCCTTACCTAGGGGAAGGTGTTGTGGACATCATTGTTCCCAAATCTATATATTTTCCGAGTTATTGCCAATTTACTTTGCCAAAGATTTGAAATTTTGAAATTTACCTTCAAAATTTGTCCTTGATTGAAGCAGCAAAAGCCTTCCTCTGAAGGTTCGATCTTAGGTCCGCTCCAGGAATGATTGGGCACGCGTCAATGACCTAGCTCGATATTGAAGGCGGGTGCACCGTAGAAATAGTGTCCCCAGGCGACGGTGATGTTAGAATGAAAAATTCAATATGATGACCAGTGTTAATTCTGTAAACAGATTAGTTAGCGAAATTATTTCACTAAGTTGCACAAGCAGAAACGAAGTCGGTTTGGAACGTACCGCCACTGTTGAGTTGTTCGGTTGAACAGTCTTTTCAAGCAAGAGGTGTTCGGGCTCAGCCGCCCCCTAATAACCCAGCATCACTTCGATGGGATGGATGTACCGCCACGGACTAAACAAAGGCATGCTTTGATTGGCCAGAATGTCGGCCAATCTGGATCGAGCGTATGTCGCTCGACGCTTCCCGGCCCCTCACGGATGTCTACCACGACCTTGTGCGGCGTTCCGTGGTGACCCTATAAACACGGTTGTAATAACATTCCTTTGTCTCCATAAGGGTCTGTCTGAAGCTATCGTGTTTTCTGATACACTATAGTGAGCAAAGCAGGAAGCAAAGGACCGACACAGAGTTGCACGACGCTTCAGCATGTCGCGATGACTCCCCGAGGCTGTATTACAGGTTGGGAATGTGGCTGAGCAGACACACTTGGCCAGTTAGATTGCTATTAGAATGACCCAGGTGCTTTTTTACAGATAAGTTGGCGTTGTTATCAGTAGCCCTGCGCCCATTGCGCGTATCAGCTGAAGCGCTTTACGCAGATTCTTAGGACTTTTCGCGTCGTTCTTTTCAGTCTTCTGTATCCACCAGGCTTCTCGATCTGTGCAGATGGTCTCTTCCATCAGAAGTTTGACGGCTTATCGAATCATACCGTATTCTTGAGCATGCGGTGTACGTGTCAGAGCTTCGAGCAATTTTAGAGTGTTGCTCGAGATCCGTTGCTTGGATCCAGTTGGTTCATCAATTTCACAAAATTAACGCCCAGCATCTTGCAGGGTTTCGGTGATTCTAGTAAGCTTGCCACACAGCGTTTGAGGGCTTCTCGATGGCTAGACAGGACGTGTGTATCTCGCGCACCCATGAAAAAGACAACGAGAAAGACTAACGAACGAGCGCGCGATCCGGGCCTACGATGGTGAACCAGCGACAATCAATAATTGGCTCACGCCGCCTCCACTCATTCCTTCCTCCGACCTCTCAGATCCCAAAGACATCTCTCTAGGGCCATTCTTAGGGATTAACAGGCCCGCTTACCACTCATCGCCGTTAACTGTAACATCTACGGCGTCAGCAGTAGTCTGTTTTGTTTATCCTGCTATTTGCAGTTACTGAAATGACCCGAGTAATGGTACCATGTGACGGGTCGATGTGGCATGAGATTGTTTTCGGATGTGCTATTCATGGTTCTACATGGGGTGAAATACTATCAGGGCACCCGCACCTGGACAGGAGGACAATCAGAGTTTCCAGCCAAAACCTTCGGCTCAAAAACCCACCCGCGCGACAGCAATTGTTAGTGCAAGACCGTCTGGATAATCTACATAGTAAAGGAGCAAGTTACCAGCCTCGTTCCCATCCGCAACCTGGAGGACCAAGAGACAGCCAAGCATCTACCCGTTTACAAACCTGGTGTGAGGTTCTGGGGAGGTCACACATACATTTGCCAGTATAGCTCGATGGGTTATGTAGGTGCACAAACCGTCACACCGTGTTAGGGTCCAGTCTGTTCGCGATGGGATGATGGTGATGAGGGACTGCAGCCCGGTAAATCTGTCTCGCCCGCTGTGATGTGGTGAACGGCCTACTGTCCTCGACAGAAGGGCCAAGGACTGAGGATCACTGACTTGGCCCTATGTCAGCTCCGAACACCATACGCAGCATCCGTACACCGGACATGAAACTGCGTTGTGTGGGACCTTGATTCGATCAACGGATGACGACGTGTGATGACGGTGCGACGTTTGCTGCGAATGGCATTACTTTTCTCGTGTTCTCCAATAGGAGACCGGTTCAATGGATATACGCAAGGTTGCAGCATTTGTCGGGTTCACTGCGTATGTACTAAGTGCTGTACATTTTGAACACGGGTTCAAGTCCCACCACTCATAGACCCAAAACGACGGGGGAAGCTCTGGAGAAACCGCAGTTAACAGCCCCACAGGAAGCGACCGAAAATCAACACGTTATATAATACCGCCATCACGATTTTGCCTGCTTATTATTATAGTTATCCTGTATACTCGCATTGAATCTTGTATGTAAAAGCAAGAGAGAGGACAGACAACCGACCAGGTCGTACGAAAACTGATATAATTAGCCAAAGTCTGCGAGTTTAAATCAGTAGGTGCAACTGAATATCGAGATAGGTGTGTGGGTGATGCTTTAATTAACGACCCGGCTTCCAAGTCCATCCGCGAAAAACTTCTAGCACAGAGCGAACTTACTCTGGGCCAAGCCTATCAGCTTGCTAGATCCCTCGCGTTGGCTCACAAACAGTCGTGGGCATATTTTAGTAGACAATATATATCCTGTTCTACGATTCCGCCATTTTCACAGAATCCCGAATTACGTGTTGATCCGACCATTGCTTCTGTAAAATCCGTTCAACCATTATTATTTCTGTGGTTATGGTAGGTATCCTCATTCGAAGTGCCCCACTCAAGAAGCCGTGTGTGTGTGTGGTAAACGCGGTCACTTCTGCTGCGTGTGTCATTGAGAAGGAGGCCTGCGCTATCGTTGAATCTATCAGGAAATGGCGGCAATCTCTACTCGGAAGACCCTTAAAACTAATCACCGATCAGCGTTCAGTCACATTCATATACGGCGGTGGACAGAAGGGTAAGGTGAAAAACGACTAGATACAACGCTGGAGGATTGACGTGTCTGGGTACAAGTATGATGTCATATACCGACCTGGCAAGGGCAATCATGTCGCAGACACTATCACGAAACGTATGTGCTTCCACAGGAAGCACTAACTAACTTGGAGAGCTCCATAAATCCCTCTGCCATCCAGGTACTACTCGTATGTTTCATTTTGTGAGTTACAATAATCTCTCCTATTCCGTCGACGATGTCAAGCGCGTTATTTCTTGTAAACTGTGTACCGAACTGAAGCCAGGACTCTGGTAGACTCATGAAAGCAACATAACATTTTGATCGCATGAGTTTGGATTTTAAAGGTCCCCTGCCACGTAATTGACGAGTTCTCAGGGTTCCCATTTGAATTCGTATGTGCGGATATAACCTGAGCAAGTGAGTGACTCACAAATCTTCTGTTTGTTCGGAATGCCAGCCTATATCCATCCCGACAGAGACTCATCGTTCATATCGTCTGAGCTCAAGAGCTTTCTCATGGAGAAAGGTGTTGCTATGAGTCATAGATCGATTTATAACCCATAGTGTAACAGTCATGTTCAGCTTCTCGACGGCACTCTCTGGCAAACAATAAGCTCTGCGTTGAAATCTCACAATCTTCCATCTTCCTATTGGGATTCGGTACTCTCTGATGCTCTACACAGCCTCTGATCACTGTTATGTACGGCCTGTAACTGTACTCCACACAAACGTTTGTTTCAATACGCACGTCGCTGAACATATGGAATATCGTTACCATCGTGGTTGGCCACCCCTGGACCAGTTCTGCTGCAGCAAGATGATGGATCATCCAAGTGTCAACCACTGGTAGAATAAGTCGACCTTCTGAACTTCACCCCACACATTGCTCATCTAGACGGAAGAGTCGAAACCGTGTCCCTTCGCCGTCTAGTCCAACTAAAGACGTTCTCAGTAGGGACATCGAACACGCAGATATAACTGAAACAACCGAACGTCAGCACCTGAACACTCGGTACCGTCCTCCGAAGACCAATCGAGCCATTCTGAAATTCTAGAAAAACAGCGACGAGTTCATCCTTACAGTTTGAGAAAGAGATGAACCTGACTCACTACATTTTCCCCCTGTCTACCTCAGTACATACGTGTCCATTCAAACAGTGCCGGGGTGGATGTCATGATTTCTGTCTGCTTAATATTATACTTACCCTACTTACCCGTATTGAATCTTTGTATGTATTTTTTACGTATGCATTTGCATGTATTTAAGCTCATCCATGCTTACTCTTAGACAAGTAAAATGTTGTTTATCCTCGATAACCCGGACTCTTCTTACTCACCCTTGGACACATTCTCACCCGCATCACCCGTTCATATATTGTGTATAGTGTACTGGGCCCAGAGGAGGCAATATGCCTACAGAGACAATTGTCGTTTCAAAAATGCGGAAAATTCTGCGACAAACTCTCACATGAATGGGTAGACAGTTTAACAAAAAGGACAGCAAACGCACCATTGAGTTGGGTTCTGTGCGGTGTCAGTCGATGTGTTCAACCGCAGATATTTACCATTTTTAGGTCCAGGCGAAAAGCCGAACCTGCGCAGGTGGGGATAGTCTAAAAGTAATCCTCCCTAGGCTCTGGACGTAAAGCCGTACTGTCCTCTATGACAGGAGTGTAAAGACAGTAAGTTGTTTCTCCAAGACATCCAGTGTGTCCGTATTTATGGAAGTAGCGATACTGCCTCCCTCTCGGGTAGGACAGGTTAGAAAAGGTCGGCCCTATAAACCACACACTCCGATCGTCCAACGGTTGACCGTGACCGCCGGCGCATTATTTAGTACGGCCTGGGCAACCGGGAAGTATTATCTGCCCTTGCAGCTCTCTACTCACCAGCCTCCCACACTCCCTACCCATCGTACCATGCAGCCAATCAAACCATCTGCCAATCTCCTAGCCACTATCCCGTGTCTCTATAATGGCCCAGAAAATAAACCAAAACAATCAGTTAATAACCTCAAAATATCTAGTCAACTTGGCAGCCTTTGGCGTTGGTACTCTATGCCAAACTGGAGAACAGGCATCTCTTGCTTCCCGTCCCTAACTATGTACGTTTTGTCCCCGAAACACGTATACAAGACCCCACTTCGGTCGTGCTCCTCAAGCCGCTTAGGACGAGCTCAGATGTTTCATATTTCACTCTTTAGCCATCTGGTGATTCCCACGCAATGGCTTGTGGTATCTACGGTGTGGGAGTTGTACACATTCCAAAGGCTGAAGGCGCCTTACTAGGCTAGATTGCAGTAAACAGTCACCTTTGTGCTGTGTGATTTTCGGTCTCAATTAAGATTAACGCAGGTCGATCTGGTAAACGGTATTTGTTTATCGTATCAGCATACGCCCCAACAGACTGCAGTTCAGAAACTGAGAAGGACGAGTGTTATCAAGACCTGCCACGATTTTCCCAGTTGGCAAGAAGAACAGATACAGTAATCCTGGCGGGTTCTATGAATGCCCGACTAAGTTCGGAAGAAGCACAATTAGGTCGTAGAACTGGAGTCGATGCTGAACGTACGGATAATGGGGAGCGGCTTCTTCAGTTGTGTGCAGATCATCGTATGTTCCTGACTAGTACTGACTTCCAACACAAACCCTCACATCGTTTTACTTGGAAACCACCTACCACAAGAGAGTCGTAAAAAATCGTTCAGCCATAGCACCCTTTCAGTGCCTAGCTGCCATGCCACCCGGAGGAAGCACGAGGGCTGGGATACTGTCAGGTTGCCCAAGCCCAGACAGGGGAAGTCGAGAGGCAGGGGTCGGGTTCGAACCACGGACCTTCCGGTCAGTAATTCGTTCTCTAACCACTGAGCCATTTCGCCGTGGACTCAATCGGACCATGTGGCTATCAGTTACCAATGAACAGTCTCAGTTAGGGATTACCGTTCCTTCTGGGGTGCGCAACTTGACTCTTTTGCCATCGTGCCGCCTTCCACCAGCATTACGTGTGCCAAAGGAGGGCAGCTCCATTAATCAGCCTCGACAAGTTTCAGTGGCGGAAGAGCATCGAGCTGATTTGAGCAGAAAGCTACTGGAAACGTATGCTCATGCCGATGACGAAGATTGCTTGGAGGTTGAATGGAGTCGAGTTAAAGAAGCGATGCTCTCAGCTTTTTGGACTGTTTTTGCAGGCCATCTGACATGAGTTAATGAACACAAAATATCTTCGAGATTAGCAGATCTCGTTGCTACCAGAACGGCCATACCTGCAACGAGAGACCGGTGGCGTACGCAGGTTCCCTAAACACCGGATAAACAGGAGCTTGAAGAATGGCAGAGAACGCTGGTGGATTTTGAAGGCCCAAAAGATGGAGGATTTTCCTGCAAAATGCCAGCCAAACGGAGCTCCTTGACCGTCACCACAGTTTTCAAAGAGGGTGCAATAACGTCCTGTGGTAACCATCGTGGAACCAGCCTCATATTCTTCGCATTTACGATACTCTCTGGCGTTCAACTTTGCTGTTGATGTGCTGCTTAAAATTCCTTTGCCCGTCTTCGCTACTTCAGAAGTTGAAATTCTCCTGACCGGAAGGACTGTGGTTAGATCCCGACCTCTGCCTCTCGGCTTCCCCTGTCTAGGCTTGGACAACTTGGCAGTATCCCGGATCTCGTGCTTCCTTCGGGTGGCATGGCAGGTGGACACCGAGAGGATGTTACAGTTGAACGGTTATTGTCTTTTGAAGTTCGCTCACAGGCATTGAGTATGCTGATAATATTGCTCTCCTTGGTTCATATCCATGGAAAATACAAAGCATTTTGAATAACGATTTCGCATGCGCTTCACACCTACAAGGTAAAAAGTGGTGCCACAAGACCCATGCTTGCACACGAGCCAATTGACGTGGTATGTGAATTTTTTGCCTGGGCAGTTGTATAAGTTCTGATGGACTGGCTGGAGGTGAGATTATTTCTCGAATGGGAAGGCCAGGGCAACTTTTGCCTATGGTGGTGATGTGATTTGAGTTTGTCTGTCAAGGGCATAGTTAACACTTAGATCGGAAAACAGCAAGAAGGGGCTGATGGTCAGTGATGGGCGTGAAATGACGTCCATAGGGCACTTTGTGGAACTTCTTGATGGCAAAGATTATTGCTAAAGCTTTTTTTCAATCTGACCATTATTGCGCTCGGTAATTGTTCGGGATCTAGCTGCGTGGGCAATTGCTTTTTCGTTTCCGTCGGGGAAAACGTGAGATGACAGCTCCAACAACATGGTTGGATGCGTCTGAAACAACAGTAGTTTACAGGGCTGGATTGTGATGTGTGAGTAGTAGATCAGAGCTGATAATTGACTTCACTTTGTCAAAAGCGAACTGGCACTAATGTGATCAGTTTCAAGGCACATCCTTTTGTAAAAGACGATTTAGTGGTTCACGAACACGATGCCTGTCTGGCAAAATGAACTGTAATGGCTTACTACACCATGGAAGGAGCACAAGGTTGCTAAATTTGTCGCTCCTGACATTTTTGTGGCAAAATTATTTTCTGAGTCTGGATGACGACCATATTCGTCAAAAACAAATCCAAGATATTTGATGGAGGTGAGAAAAAATGCACATTTCTCTGCACGTGGGCGAAAACCATATTGCTGAATTCGTTCGAGTACAACAAGGACAACGAGGACAACAAGCTGCTCCTGCACTCACACTGGACTCGCTTGGCATTGATGTGTGCTGTGTCTCAGAAACGAGAATTCAAGATGCAAGCAGTGATTGAGTTAACCGCCCCGTCAGTCTCCACTCGCTTCCGGCTACGCACCTCTGGTGATCCAGAGGCTGCTGCGGTGGGATGTGCAGGGGTTGGTATTGTGCTAAGTCA